GGAATTAACGGGAATGTTACCAAGAAGATTGTAATGGGGGAACACCTTACATTACTCTAACGTCCCCCAAAAGGATTGGTATGTTTTAAAAACAGCCTATACCGAAAAAAGGACTGATTAATCACGGAAATTTGAGTTATTTCCAATTAAATCTTATTACTTAATCCAATAAGAGCATCGGTGGCTCAGTGGTTTATGCACTTGACTTGTAATCTACTGGTCTTGGGCTCGAATCCCACCGTACCAATGTATATTGCAATCTTAAAATTTCATATATACATAATTTACACGGCGTTACGGTGAAGGATAACATCGTGATGCAACCTGCACATATCGGCGAAGAAATTGAAAGATGTGTGTAAGGTCGAGCAACCCGCTCTTGGTCAGCGTGGTTGACTATGGCCTAGTCACCGTAACTTACGGTAAGCTCCGCCTATTTGTGAGGACGTATAGTAAGCTGGTAATAATGATTAAAACAAATTAAAATACGAAATCTGAAAAATAATTATTATTACCATTTCATTATTACATACAGATACGTTAGTTTACCCTGAATCCTACGTATCGCAAAAGAGTCGTAACGTAAAACTTTATATGTTATATCGTATAATAAAAACGGCAACAAAAAGCTCGCCAGCCATGTATATCAATTTGTTTTCCTAATAAATGTTTGACCCATCACATTTTTTACGATGTAAATGACCGGACCTTCCTCACATAAATGCAATTCCCAAAATGTCCTTTATTATATTAAACCAAATAGTCTACATAAAAACATAATACCAATGAAATACGAATAGAAATCGGTAACTTTTATTGGACTCGATTGTTAAGGTGTCCTTATGCAAAAAAAAACTATATAAACTTAAATTTGGGACGGTAAAATAAACATTCTTTCCCTTTAATCAATTTATTTCTCACCCATTTATGTCTCTTTCAATTGTTTTTTTCGTTTTTAACTTTTAAAACGTTCCGTTTATCTCCTCACTTCCTTGTCTATTCTTTTCATTCATTCGAGTCTTTCATACGTTCAGTCAGCTCAGTCATTCACTCTAGTGGTAATTTAGAAACAACTTTCTTACACCTTCGTTCGGAAACACGTATTCACACATCCCACATTTAACTTTCATGATTGAAGAAAGAAGGATGTGTAAAAGATTTGTTCACAAATGTTTCAAAATAAAACCTACACCAAGCTTTTGGTAGCACGACTGCGGCCGTAATCTTTTCAATTAAAGTGCAACTTCCTTATACAGCATACGAAGAATCATCGCATATTATCTAACGACTAATATCGTGCGCACACTTAAAACTAAATTATCGCACAACTGCTTAGTCTCGCTTTGATTCCTTATGCTTATGAGGTGCGCACACTACTCCATTTTTAGTTGTGCAACTAAACAGTTGAATTGGCTTCGAAACAATCGACAATCGCACAACAGTTGTGTAGTTTAGTCAGAGGTATGCGCCCGCTATTGACTAATAAAACTAACCACAGCGCTAGTAGAATGGTGAGTGCGTTTCCACTAATCTCTAGTAGGAAATAGGATCTAAAGCGCTTTAAACGCCTAGCTTGTACCTAAACATGTTCTTATCTCTACCTCTAGCATCGTTTATACGTCCATTGCCTGTCTACACCGGATGTCGAAACCATTTGCATCCTTTCCTTTTTCAACTCTCCCGTTTCGCAAGTACTAAATTCGTTCCGGACTAAGTAAAACAGTTTTTTGTGTATTCCACGTTCATTATTTTGTGTAGACGCCCGCATCTTTGTTTGTGGGTAGTTTTAGCAAAATACATCCTCATTTTTCCACGTTTATCGCAGATTTCTTTATGTTTATTGTTTCAGTTTTAGTTTTAAACTCATTATTTCTCTTTTTTCTGTAAATCATTTACTTTCAAATATAGTTTCAGAGTTTCAAATTTCATAAAGGCTTATAGGGCGCACACTTATAATTAAATTATAGCACATACGACTGTCGATTGTTTAACAATCAATTCCCAATTGCAGTGAGTGCAGTGTAGTTGAAGATGTTCAGCATGTTGTACTGGAGTGTGTTCGGAGCGAGCGCATTAGACATAATTATGATGGTGTTTAAGTTGACCGACATCTGTTTGAGAAAACAGTTGGGCAACTGAGGTTTTGAGAGTTAGACTTATGGGGCGTTATCGTCGCTTCGCAACAAAGCCCCCTGAAAAAAATAAATTAAAAAAAAAACAACCAATTCAACTGTTTAGTTGCACAACTAAAAATCGAGTATGCACCTCTATATAAGCTTATAGGAATCAAAACGCGACTAAATAAATGTGCGATAGCTGAATAAATGAAAATCAAAAATCTGTGCGCTCTTAGTATTTCAATTTCAAAACAAAGAAGTCAACTTAGTGTTTTTAAGCTAACGTACCTTTTGCTCTGATTTTCTTGTGTTGTGAATGTCGATGGCCGTCGATAATCACTTCGGAGTTCCTTTCGCTTATTTGTCCCGATTTCTTTTTAAAAAGAGGGTCTTGTACAAAGCTCCAAACATTGTGTTCTTAAGAAATAAGACAGTTTTACTTATATTTTATAGTACCTTTGTGTCTGTTTTAGATTTTTCAATTGCTGTAGTTTAGGGTTCGTTTTACAAGATTTTTTTTTATTTCAATCTTAAAATCTACTTCTTGAATTACAACAGAACAATTGAATAACAATCGTGACGTCATATTAATCTCGTAAAGGGAATTGCAACTCGCCGCTACCTCAATCCGATAATCGATTTGTCATTCAATTCAGTCTGCAAACTCCGGTCAGTATACTGATTGAATGACTTCCCTTTCACTGAGTCGGATTAAAACATCGCTTAGTCGATAACGTATATTTAGAGCAAGGCTTTTAGGATTAGCGACTTAGCAATTGTCATATGAGTCACGGATTTAATAGCTTTTATTTCGCTTTCGTGTGAAGAATTCCTTTTAAAGAAAATTAAAATGCTTAAAAATGCTCTTATTTGTAACGATCTGTCGCCCGCAAACTTCGTAAGCGCAAATTTGGATCATCCTTTACGCCATTTTGACAGCGCGGATTTTTAAAAATGTAGCCTATCTATGTCAGCTACCCTTCAGTGAAATTCCTGACGAAATCGGCCCACCCGTTTCGGAGATTACCCGGGACAAACGCGGATTGCGGACTGACAGACAGACAAACAAACAAAAAAATTATTGAACGCTATTTTCGCTATCAACAACGCAACGTTATCTTCCCGAAATCTGAAATTATACTACATGAATAGATAAATTCTAAGTAGATTTTCAATAAATAAAAGTTTCTTTTTTAATGTGAATTAAAAATGTTATAATTTAAAATACAATAAAATATGAATAATTTGCAGAAAAATTTTACAATTAATATGAAAAAAATTGAAATTGCATTCGAAGTGGAAAATTATGCAAATCATTTCAACTAGAGCGTTCGTTGGATTGAAAAAAATGGACACTTTTTTCCATTTCTCATAATTATAATTGCGTTTAAATTAATTAATTATGACATGACATTTATAAATAAATAATATTTCTAATTTTATTAATTGAACCTGAATTAATTAATGTTTTTTTTCTTTTTAATAACTTGTCTATACTATTATAATAAAGCGTAAACACACACTTCTTTGTTGCCTAAGATGTCAGCAATTACAGCAAATTTTTGAATAAATCTTTTTTAATAAAAAGCCCTACACTTACGTCACGCTTTAGGCTATATATTTTCACGCCGTTAAACTTAGGGGTAAATAATTTGGGTAAAAACCCTAATGTGGGAAAGAGACCATAAGTTGTTGCAAACATCAAGGAAGCATGGTTGTCATGGTTTGACATCATGTCATGTCATTTTGACATTTGCAATTGATAATTTGACAAATGTGAACAATAAAATATTTTTGGTCATGGAAACAGCTAGTTTGTTATAAATTAAAGACCCATATGCACTTGACAGAATTTGTAAATACATCAAATGTTATGTACGAAAAAAAAAGAAGATATTTTTTTTATATCTATGTAAATGAAACGATAATACTTCTAACAAAATTGTTCCATTAAAATATGAATCGAGTTAGATTTATGTTGAGTTCTTTTCGCGATGGAGCAAGGAAATAAATTGTGGATCATAAAACTGCCATACGTAATGACGTTATATAGACCATACAATGGAGCCATTGCATAAATTTCACCGCTATCTAATTCTAAATGTATATTTACCTCTTCTTCTTCTTTGTAAATCCTACTACTTACTAATATTATAAATGCGAAAGTTTAGATGGATGGATTTTTAAAGTTTGTAGCCTGTAACAGTGGTAGTGCCCGCTTTAACATCTTAGCACTGCAGGGCCGGCACGTCCGGTGTAATACAACGACCACATAGAAGACAGGCGTGAAATGGAAGAAATTCCGTGTTTCGTTTGATGAGTGTGGTGCCGGAGGCCTAATTTAAGTCCCTTACTCTTTACCACCCTTTTCTTATAAGGAGAGGATGTGAAGGAGAAGTGGATTTGACGGTGGTGGAGACGCATAGGAGGAGGAAATATCTTGTTTATGTGCATCTCCTCCTCCGTCGATTAATGGTGGGCAACGCATCCGCTATGCGGATGTCTATGGGCAGCGGTCGCTTCGCCATTTTGGCGGTTTTAGGTAGCCGCTTGCTCGTTTACCACCTCATAATATAAAAAAAACTTTAGTCATGTCACCTTCCATATCTTAGTTAATTTTCCTTATCGTTAAATATGGTAATTTTGGACTAAATTAAAAAAATAATTGTCGTAACTGAAATTTTATATTCCTTAAAACTCTTAAATTACTTTCCAAAACTATTAAAACTTTACTGAAAAACGATTTTAAACTAGTTAAAATTGATTACAGAGTCGTGTGTTAAAGTTTTTTAAAAGTAATTTAAAGTAATCGGATACAAAATTTGTATGAAAGGGCAATGAAATTCTTCAATTTAGTTATTCTTGTCTTATTCCTAAGCAAAAATGACGGGTAGTTTAAAAGAAAGTCATCCACAAAAGTATTATTTAAAAATAATCTCTCATTTTCTATATTACTTTGGTTTAGGAGAGTTTTGGTATGAAAAATTAACATACAATTATATACAAAAATTAATATATAAATTGTGGGTAATAACATCAAATTCGTATATATTTTTAATGATTTTAAACGAATTCTTAGCATATCGAAAAGATTTAAACAGTAAAGAAAAAGGCGATTTAATTTTATTTAGTTTCGCACATCCATCGATAGCTGCTAAAATATTGGTGTTTTATATAAAACGAAAGGATATAGTGGATACGCTGCAGATATTATTAGAAAATAATAGACATTTTTATAATCCAACAATTGAAAAATGTTCAGTAAAACGTGCTAAGTTTTATTGTATTTGTTTACTTGTTAATATTTTTGTTATACTTGTAAGCGCTACTGTAGAAGGTGTTAAAAATTATTTACTTGAAGGTAAGTTTTTTAATTTACAGAGGAAGTTAATTTGTTACTTTTTTCAAAGTTATTATTTGTAACTTCGGATAGCTGAGATTAAAAAAGTAAAGAAGCAAGCTAACGTTCATTAAAATTTGAGTAAAAAGCGTAACTTTAAACGTTTGTTATAATTATCTATACTAATATAAAGAGGATAGATTTGTATTTTTGTATGTATTGAAGTAACTCAAAAACTACTGTTTTGATTTTAAAAATTCTTACACCATTAAAAAGCTACGTTATCAGTGAGTAACATATATTTTTATTGATTTTATTAAGTTTCACGTGGACAAAGTCACTGCAACAGCTAGTACTCGTAATCCATATGTTTCTTTCAGGTATACCAATACGAACAGAAGTTACATATTTTCCGAATCAAGAATATTCCGGTTTCTCAGTAAACCTGTTAAGATTCCTTATTCAATTCCATTGGTGGTTTTTATTGGCTATCATGTATTCTATCGACTCTCTATCTATCTGTTCTTTAGTTTTCTTGAGTTACAAATTCAAGAAAGTCCGACTACATTTTAACAGTTGTAGAATTAATATGATAAAAATGGCTAAAAGCAAAGAAGATTCAATCGATGTTTTTTTTGAACAGAATTTTATCATAGGAATTGAACTCCATCAAGATGCTTTAAGGTAAGTAATAAAGTAATTCAATTTTTAGTCAGTTTAAATAAAATTAGGGCCTATCCCACCAAATTGTGAATTGTCTGATAACAATCTGACGTGTAAAACATGTGTTGGAAATATCGGATTTCGTTCCCTTATCTGACAGTAAGTTTTAAGCTATCTGAGCTTCTATCAGCCAGTGGTGGGACAGGCCCTTAGTATTTTATTTTAATTGTATATCTAACTTAATTATAGTTTGTTTAAATAAGATTTGATAAATGACGCATTTAAAGTATCGAATTCAATTTGTATGAAGGTAAATGCCGTACTTAATAGACAGGTATCGTAGTGACGAAACAAACACGCAGCGAACAATTATGAACTATCTATATTCGGTTCAAATATTTATCGAACTCAACTAAAATTATTTTTTTCTTATTAAGTAATTTAGAGGACAATTCTAGTATTGATTATAGTGTAGAGAATTTAGCGATAACAGAAGAAATAGCGAAATCCAATTCGATTACGTACGGCTGTAGTAATAAACATCTGTTTACTCTCATTATTTGTTATGGTTGCTACTTTAAAGTATCTATGGACTCTAATAAAAACATGTTTATACAGAATCTCCATATTCATAGATGAGTAGTTATCTTGAAAACCATTGAAAAGCAGAAAGTAAATTGTGATAACGAATACATATCAGACGTTTAGTTCGAAATAGCCGATTTCCACGATTCTTTTCTGCAAAACGTAATAAGGATTTTAAAACATTTTCTGTATAATTTATGATTTTTAGATGTGCTAGAAAAATTCAAATGTCGTTCGGAAAACTCTACACCGTACAAGTCGTGGAAAGTATTTCAATGCTTGCGATATGTCTTCTTAAACTTACGGTAAGTATTATAATTATGCAGACACACTTTTAACTGAACTATTGTGCGATCGTCGATTGTTTCGCAGCCAATTCAACTGTTTAGTTGCACAACTAAAAATCGAGTAGTATGCGCATATAAACTTATAGGAATCAAAGCGAGACTAAACAGTTGTTCGATAGTTTAGTGTGAGGTGTCCGCACGCTCTTAATGTATTTTTTTTTTATTTCTAGACATCTGTACAAGATATCGCTTCATTAGTAAAGAATTTCATGTTTATCTCATGTGTGCTTTTATTGAACGGAACATACATGATGTCTGGAGGTGACGTTACTTATGAGGTAAGTTGTCTACTTTGTCTACATTTATTTTAATGATAAAGGAATTTACCAATTTTAAAGTTACCTCACATGATTTCTGATCGTTAAAGGTATCAATGAAGTAGACTAAATTAGTATGTCGGGAGTAATAATCGATTGAGTACGATTAGAATCGATTTTTTGACAACAGTGAATAGTCTAAGTCACTGACGGAACATTACAAGCATCTTGAGAGGTACTATACCATAGCACGACAATCAGGTTGCACGTTCGCAACGCATCACCTGTATAATTTAAAATCCTATTTAATCATTGCCAAATGGCGACCAATTTTTAGGTATTTTTTACATAGATATTATTAGGTGGCAAACGAGCAAGCGGCCACCTGAATCCACCGAAATGGAAAGCGACCGCTGCTCATAAACTTCCGCAATTGCAGATGTTGCCTACCCTTATTTGACGGAGGAAAAGACGCACATAAAGAGGATATTTCCCCTTCCTATGCATCTCCTCCACCGTCAAATTCACTTTTCCTTTCCATCCATTCCTCTTAAGAAAAGGGTGGAAAGGGAAAGGGACTAAAATTAGGCCTCCGGCACCACAGTCATCAGACGAAACGCGAAATTACTTCCACTTCACGCCTGTCTTCTGTGTGGTCGTGGTATTACACCGGGCGTGCCGGCCCATTCGTGCGAAAATGTTAAAGCGGGCACTACCACTGTGTTTCTATCGCATGATGGTAAAGAGATAATGCCGACAAATATTTTAATAAATCGATAGTCCGTGCGAATAATAATCCTAGAACCGAACTAAATGTAAATGGGTACAACCAAAAACCTCTAAAAATTGAAGTACTAAGGCACTTTGTAGTACTTTTGTGGTTGTAGTTCAGATTTTTCTAATATAAGATTACTTTAATTCGTGGTACAAAAGCTTTCATTTCTGCAGGCGTCTTTGATCTCGGATTCCGTTTTCCACTGCGGTTGGGAATACGGTAAGTCGCGCAGGGGTCTGCGTAGTCTGGTCGTGGTTACGTTGCAGCAAAGTCAGGTGCCGATACGCATGACTGCTTTCGGCGTCTTAAGTTTATCTTATAACAGTTTCATTACAGTAAGTACATAAGTTATTAGAGTAGAGTAGAGTTTAGAGCACGTATTTTGACAAAACTATAGCACAACTATTCGCGTTTTGATTCCTTTGAGTTTATATGAAGGTACACCACTCCATTTTTATTTGTGCGAAGAAACAGTTGAGTTGGCTGCGAAACAATCGACAATCGCACGACAATTGGTCCTTAGTTTAATAAAAGGTGTGCGCCCTTTCTTACAATACATTTTTTCTTATGTAATTTACTTAAAGATATTATTCCTTTTTCTTGTTTCTACTTGCAGTATTGTAGTGAATTTTAATGTAGTTATTGATCTTTTTCTCTGAGAAAATGCGCTTGTTTTGTTGCCATAATAACTTCAATTTTTGTACTCTGTTATTTCATACTAGCTGTTGCTTGCGACTTCGCCGATATGAAAAAAATTAGCCTATGTTACTCAATGATGACGTAGCTTTTTAACGGTGAAATTTTTGAAATCGGCCCAGTAGTTTTTGAGTTATTTAAAAACATATGAAAATACAAATCTTTCCTGATTATAATATTATTTTAGATTAGTATAGATATAACAAAGCAAAACAATTCTAATGCGATTTCTTATTGTAAGTAATATGTATGAAAGGATGTATCTATGACTGATGACGTCATTAATCTGACTCTTCACATTTTTTCTTTTTTTATTATGTTAACATCACAATATTATGATTTATATAAATCCTAATGAGATTACATAATACGTTAGTTTATTTTTCTTACATTTTTCATAGTAATATGGTATTATTAATATTTTATATGTTTCAGGTTCTACGACTTTCGTATTCATTTTTTGCCGTAATGTATTAGTTGAAATGAAAACAGAAATAACTACAAGGTTTTTTTCATCACGATTTGTTGAGATATGAACTATTTTACTTAGATTAAAATATGCTTCTCGAATTGTATAATATTTTTGTACCCTTTGTACACCTTTTTGAAGGAAATTTGTTAAACATATATACGTGAAATTTGACACAGTAAAAATTTACATGGAATATAGTTTAGCATTTGCCCGCGACTCCGTACGCGTGAAATTATAAAAATGTAAGTAGCCTATGTGTTGTTCCAGACTGTACTCTACATCTATGTCAAATTTCATCGACATCCGTTTAGACTACAAACTCTAACAAATATCCAAACGTTTACATTTATAATATTAGTAAGAAGTAAGATTATTAAAAAAAATCATCATAAATTTTAATCAAATTTAATAATGGATTTCCAACACATTTATAATCATGTTAGTGTACTGTAACAAGTTAAAACCAAAACTAAAATAAAGCGTTCATTATACTTAACAGTTTCTAACTTTTCTTCTACTTTAAGTTAAAACTTTAGCGCCACAAGCGCTAATCTCGTCTCGATCCAAGTTTTTGTAACATAACATAGACTGTTACAGAAACGTTGTTAAACTTAAGATTAAAAGTAAGGTAAATGTACCAATAACTGACAGTGTATAAGTGAAAAATGAAAAAGAATTTTTATGAATTCTACAATGTAAATACGTAGAAGGTAAAAAAAATTGTTTGTGGATACAATAGAAATAATTATTTGTAGTATTCAGTACCCCGCACTAGGCGCAGCCTGTTTCGCGAGGGTCCTGCTCTTAAGATTTAATACACATTCGTTAGACGACAAGAAATCAATTAAAGTGATACATATATCGACCTACCCGCACTGGGCCATCGTGGTTGACTATGGCCTAGTCACCCCTTACTTAGGGTAGGCTCCGAGCCCCTCGGTGGGGATGTATAGCTGGTGATGATGATAATATATTGACTTGCTATTAGTTTTAAATTTTACAGAAAAAAAATTACAATAATAAAAGAGAATTTGAAATACTTTCTTAAGAATCTCTTCTGTTTCCTCGTATGTTGATTTAGTGATATCTTTAGATTTAATACCTTATAATAAGATACCCGATAGTTTAATCCGAGCAGAAATACTACTATCAATTACTAGTGAATTTTAAGAGGTTTGGTAAAAAAATCACAAAAAAATATGTGCAAAAGTTCAAGTGACTTGTCTTGCACCAAAAAATGTGCAAGACAAGTCACTTGAAGGGCGGATTAATGTCCTTTTACAATAGTTTCTACTAGCACTGGAAGTAAAGGGATAATGCGTTTCTGACAATATAATATCAATTACTGGTACATACACCTTACATGTTTTTAAATTAGAAGTGCCAGTAATAAAACAATGAATGTAAATATTTGGGCTAATGAGCGAATAATTAAAATTAACCATTTCATCGTATTCCTTACTGTGTTTAACTTTAAAAATATCTATCCGTTTAGTATCATTTAAGGGAAACCCTTAGTGTAAATTTTGTACACAAAGTAATACTTTTCGAGTTTTATTTTAACACTAGCTGATCGCGATTTCGTCCACTTAAAACTATGAAGTAATAAAAATTATAGTCTATGAAATAAGCGACATTGTAGCTTTTCTTTTTTTGAGTTTTTTCAATGCATACAAAAATCCAAAAATACAAATCTTTTCTCTTTAAAATATTGGTATAGATATACTTTAGGCGATAGTAATAGAAACTTCACTTTGATACTAAAGATTTAAGAAATAAAGCTTCAAAAAGTCACAGAAAATATATAAGAAGAGACACTTTGAGGACAATACACTTGCTTTAAAGTGTCAGATAAGATAGATTGCGAGCTTTAATGGCTTGTTGGGGAATACCCCTGTTGTGGTCAGATGGGCACTTGATACAAAGAATAGCAAAATATTGCACATTTTTATTCAGAAGCTTTTAAACGCGACTGCGATCGCACGTGATTAAAAAAAACGTAAGTATTCATGGGTTCTTCTAGATTATGTTTTATGTCTTTGTTGAATAACATCGAGATCCGTTCCAAATTCAAAAATTCATTTAAATTTACTAGTTTATACTCGTAGAATGAAGAAAGATACTTACTCGTATATAAATACAATTAAATAATCCCATCTAGACATAGTTTGAGTATTGGTTTTTAAGCTTAAAACAAACTTGTACATAAAAGACTTCACATGTCGATTTTTTTAGAACACTAAGAAACAACCGTTGTAAGTTTTCACTCGTTTTTTCCTGTCTTCAAATTTTATGTATAAATGTGCAAATGTTCACTTACTTTTTGTAGTAAACAATCATAATAATATTATAAATACGAAAGTTTAGATGGATGTTTGTTAGATAGAGTTTGTAGCCTAAACTGCTGAACGAATCTCGATGAAATTTGGCACAGATGTAGAGGATAGTCTGGAAGAACACATAGGCTACCCAATTTGTTTTTTTAAATTCCACAAGAACGGAGTCGCGGGCGAAAGCTAGTTAAGTAAATAATAAAATGACGACAATTATTGCCCATTATTTGATACAAACATTTCTGCAATATTTATGATACAAACAACGAATTTATGATAACCAAATTTATTATTTTCCAACGCGTATAATTTCAACAAAACCGGTATCATCGGGTGACTATGTTTGCGTTTACGGAACAGGACATTAATTTTATCCAACAAACAAAACACAATCGTATTTGGATATTTCAAAGTCTAAATTATTATACAAACTGTAATACGAATTATTCCATTAAATATGTCGCCGTGAAATCATTTAAGTAATATTTACAATGATTTTAACAAACAAGTAAAGCAAATACATACTTAAAATCTACACCGATTTTATAAATAGGACAATTAGTAAAAGATTATCCCGAAAACTACTTGAATTATTTTAAAAATGTTACTTTGTAAAAAAAACTGTTTTAATATGTGGTATTTAGTTAACACTGTTGTTTATATAATTCAAAATGGTCCTTATCCTCCAAATAACTCTATTATACGTCACCTCAGTCATCACTCTCTTCTTGATTTTTTTTTTATATAATATAAGGTGGCAAACGAGCAAGCGGCCACCGGAATCCACCGAAATGGAAAGCGAGCCCATAAACATCCGCAATTGCAGATGTGTTGCCTACCCTTTAATTGACGGAGGAGGAGATGCACACAAAGAGGACATTTCCCCTTCCTATGCGTCTCCTTCTTCAACAAATCCACTTTTCCTTCCCATCCTTTTCTCTAAGAAAAGGGTGGAAAGGGAAAGGGACTAAAATTGTGCCCCCGGCACCACACTCATCAGACGAAACGCGGAATTGCTTCCACTTCACGCCTGTTTTCTGTGTGGTCGTGGAATTAATCCGGGGGAGCCGGCCCATTCGGGCGAAGATGTTAAAGCGGACTCTACCACTGATCATGTCACCTTTCACGCAACCCATCCATCTCTTTCTAGGCCTAGCGTGTATTAATATCTTGAATGTATTAAATCACTATCAATAACATGTTAAAGTAATTAATAGAATCTACAACAAAATTGACATTTAAAAATTATTCAACTCAAAAATCATCGAGAACTCGATTCTCGGTAACGGGGTCGTGTTGAGTACCACCGATTGAATTGAAACGTTAAAACTTACGTAATTGATTCCGTTTGCAATTTGACTACGTATTTTCGCTCATAATTAGACAGGAATTTTGAACAATCCGTGGGTCAGCGTTTGACTATGGCTTAGTCAATAGAATTAGGGTAGCTTTATACCACTCAATGGGGACGTATTGGCTGATAAATTCTACGAGGTCCTTCATTTTTCTATAAAATGAAGTGTACATTGTTCATGTAATTTTTATTGTCTGTGCAATCAACAAAAAAAAATAAAACACGATTTTCGTTATCAGCAACGCAAATACATCTTCTCGATATCTGGAATTTTCTTTTGATACAGGCAATCCAATTTCATTTTATGTAAAAATCAGAATTAAGTATCAGGGATCAAATAGAAATATAGATATCAAAATGATGGAGTAATTGTCTCGTTAAAAATGTTCCGTTCTTAACATAAAAACCGCTGAGAATGATAAAATACCGAATCACATCTCCAGCGATCGTTAGACCTCGATCTTGTTATTTTGACAAATGACGGTCGTCAGAAAAATTCGTCCCTTACTTACGAAACTCGAAATGATAACTTATAAACCTTTTTCACAATAAAGTTGACGCATTTTGAACTAGTAATCAAGTTAAAAAACATATAAGCCGCGAAGTTTGTCGATGACTTCCCATTCCGTTCAAATAACCTCATGCCACTGTCCTCAGTACTCAGTTGACAAATGCCGTCAAGCCGGCATCGGCAAAGCTGTCCACGAACATTAAAGTAATTACTGCGAATATAAACGTAAAAATTATACTCGTCTAGATAGCCTCTACATACACAAGGCAATGTAAATCTCCAAAATCTTTTACTTATCTTTATCTTTTCTTTCACGCGAACGGAGTCGCAGGCCAATGCTTGTGTTGTAAAATTGTGTCCCGCATATTGTGCCCTTTACATACACCTAACGTAGAATCAACGCAAGCCTTGTATTCGGTTAGTATAAATATACAAAGTACATGTCAACTGAATGGATTTGCTCCGTCATCTTGAATCGAAGTGACTTCTTAAACAAATATCTTAACAAATTACGAGTGACTTGGTAATTGTAATGCGATGTCAATTAGAGACTGAAATCGGCTATGAAAATGTACATCGCATTGTCTACGAAAACATCTACGCAAAATGCTACGATTACTACGACTGGCTTAGTACACGTAGCATTTCACGTAGATGAAGGCGGAATAGTAGAAGTCCCCTACCATTTAGATTACTTATTTTTATGAATTAACATTGATTTTTTAAAAATTGTAACACGTGAGCGTATGAAACATACACTCATGCACTACCACACACTGAATTTGTTACAAAATTTGTCTTTAGAAATTCTAAACGCGACTG